TTCACGGTTTTTTTTTCCGGAACGGGGGTCTTCCCCCAAAAACTCTTCCGTCCCCCCTTGCAAAAAAAAAAAAGCAAAACGCAAGCCTTATCTTCTCTGCCAACACACTCCCCCGATTTCTATAAGTTGTACCTCCTAAGGTTTTCCCGCCTACTCCATCTCTTCGAAAGGGTAAAAAGGATACGGATTTCGCAAACGGTTAAAAGCTGGCACCGCCAGCAGCGGGAGGCGCGCAGTGGGGAGGGGGAGCCCGTGCCCATGCACAGATTTGCCACATCCCGGTACCTGGGCCCCGCGTCTCTACAACGGAGAAGGTTCTCCAGAAACTGGGGGTCAGCTTTGGTGGGGTGCTCTGCTGAAGGAGGGAGCAGGTAAATGGGATACAGGAGAGGAATTGTAAACGAAACACATCTTTTAAAATAAAAGACAAATTGGTCTAGGGGTCCTGCTCGTTGAAAATCTACAGATGCCATTTAAAAATGAAAAAGGGTCTAGGAGATGGCTGCTGACCGGGAGCGACCGGTGACGTAGGAAGAGAGCCTTGGTTCTGAAGATCTGGGGGGTTTCCGCGCGGGGTGGGATGAGTGGGTGACATCTTTCTTGCTGGTTTGGAGATGATTTATTCGCTCGAGTTGTAGAATCTGAAATAACGGCCCTGGGAACATGAAGGAACTGTGGGGACTCGTGTGACCCACCGCTGCCCGCCTGGGGCCCCTACGCCCTGACCTGAGCACGCTGTGGAAGGTCGAGCTCGCTCAGCCAAAATGCTGGCGGCGCGACGCCTGAAGTACGGAGAAGCGCTCCGAAGGGCCTCAGCGGGGAAGTGAGGCCCAGGTAGTACTGACAGCCGGGGGCCTCTGACTTTGCAGGCCGACCTCCCTGACACTTCCAACTCCAAGCGGCCCTTCGCTCCAAAGCGGTGGGAGTCACTGGGCTGCAAATTTCTCCAAATTATTAAGAGGAGACCATCCAGACCCTGCCCCTGCCTGTAAGATCAACAGGATTCACCACTTCTTCTTTGGACTTGACTTTAGAATTTGGGGATTCGGTGACCCCCCCTTCCCTTGATCGTGGACTTCACGGCCTCCTCTAAATATAATTTTTTTCCAGGCTACCCTTAAAACCATGTATTTCTGTGACTCCCCCTTGAGTCGAGATAATTGAGGCCCAAATTTAGAGTGCCAGCACCGGCTCCAGGGTCCCAAGGTGGTGCCACATAAGTAAATTTCTGGCGCCATAGGTGTTGCAAAAGCTGACTTGGGGAAATTAATTTCATGATGCAAATTCCAACTAGGGAGCACCCTGGAGAATGTTCCCGCTCCCCTGAGCGTTTCTCTGGCGAGGAAGACTTGGCGTGGCTGGGCCGGGTAATGTGGCGGCGGGATTGGGCGGGCGACTCCTCCGCGCCGCCGCGTTTACACCTCTCCCTTTGTGACAAATCAATTTCCCGCGCCGATGTGCTGCATTTGCATTCCGCCCAGGCCCGGGACCCAGCTGCGCCTGATGCACACTTAGCACCGGCTAGTGAGTGTGTGTGTGTGTGTGTGTGTGTGTGTGTGCGCGCGCGCGCGCGCGTGTCTAATTGACTTTCCGTCTACCTTTTTATGACTACATGTGTTTCCAACAAAAGGTCTTATTAGGACAATCTGGTTTCACTAATTTAGAGGCTGGGAACGTGGAAGGCAGGCGCTTTTTTTTTTTTTAAGAGTTTGTGCAAGTTCAGATTAAGAAATGACAGCGGTATGCACTGTCCTCCTAGGAGTAGGTCTGCCTGTTTTATGACCTGTTCCTCTTTCCTCTCCCTGACCGCCCCTAATCTAACACCACCCCCCTTCACACGCCACGCTCCCCCACTAGCCACTGGATTCCTAGCAGTGTTAAAGAGCCGTTTCCTTAAACCCTTTAAAGGTATTTGAACCTAGAAGTTTGAGAAATTGACGGGCCAGGAGAATCCATAATAGAGGAAAGAAGTTCTACAGAGAAGAAAGTTGGAGTGAACCTCAACCACGCGGGAAACAGAATTGCGGTGGGCAGGGCGGGAGATCACCGGGAAGCCCTCGCTTTGGACAGGATACTTAGCTCCTGTTTGCCAAGGCCCGCCCGGGTTATAATTCACAAATTTGCAATATTAATAATCTAAGATTGCAGGTGTACGTGGAGTCTGTCTCACGAATTAAAGCCCCAAAGAAAGTTTTAGGAAGGACCTGTTTCTATATCACTGGAAGAGTAAAAAGCGTGTTCTGAATGTTCCCCATCTCGCCAAAGAAGATTATCTTATCGATTCCTACTCTGCAGCAGACAGACTCTCAGCTGGCTGCAAGGGACGCCTGACTCTTGGTGAGTCCTCCGTCCCTAGCAGGCTCTGAGCCCAGCTGTAATCCTCTGCCTGGAGACACCCCACTTTCCTGATTTACTGCCCCTGTCTGACTGGAGGCCCAGCCGGCCCAGCTGGTCCTGACTTCCAAGTAGGCCACAACAGCTTCCTGGGCAACTTCTGGTGGGGGCCCAAGAACCAAGGACAAGGGTCCCCCCTGAGTGCTTATCACCCAACTTACCAGACCCTCCTATTCTCATTCCAGAGATGGGAAAGGAGGCCGAGGAAACACTGTTTCTAAAAGCAACAAATATTGTTAGAACAGGCCCCTCGCCCTCTCTGGAAAGCAAGGCCTGTCCCACATATGCGTGTGTGTGTCTGTCTGCCACGTTTCCAGCCCAGGTATACTCTGCATTCTACAACCCCCTTCCGGAATGTCTGTTGACCATAGTCCTCAAGCATCCTCTCCCTGGCTGGCCTCCGAACCTGTTTCCTTTCGAGGTCCACTCCCCACTAGACCACCTTACTCCTTGGAACTCAATTATCAAACGGGCAGGTTTCCGAAGGTCTCATCCCCTTCCCTTTGGACACATGGTCCCCAACTCCGCCTGCTGTCCTTTGCATGTCCTCGCGCGCCCCACCAGACGCCACGTGTGCAGCGTGGCCTTGGCTGCGCGAGGCCTGGGTCTGAGGAGCCATCCCTGGGTCCCCTCTGGTTACCTCACTGCCTCTGCCTCAGCTTCGCTCCGTACCCAGGCCACCACGAACCCAAGCTCCCTTCTCGTGGCATCCATTCGGAGCCAAACCTTGGGAAAGGCCAGCGTCCCTCCAGGCCTGTAGCACCCAGAGGCCGCCGTGGCCGGCCTGAGCTCTGGGCTCGCTGGGCCACCGGCCTTGGGCCTGCGTTGCAGCCCCCTCGCCCGCCCCACCCTTCTCTTCTACACAGCAGTTCCTTTACTACCCTGTTTTCTGTTGTGGGTCCAGCCTCCAGTGCTCCGAATAGTGATACATGTTGCGATTAATCTCTAGTCATAGCACAACACGACAGGCAGGATGTGCGGAATCAGGGGAGCTGGGCGACAGGCACACGACAATGCAGAATACTATGTTCCCTACCCTTTTGAGTTTCAATTTGCCCTAGTAAAACGCTTAAAAGTAATTATATTATTTCACAGTGCATTTTCTTGGAGCTAAAAGTGTCTATGCAAACAACTCAAGCTGCCGGCACGTGCAGCATGAGCAGCACCCGCCACCCCGGCACCAATACTCCACAAGGAGGCCCCTGCCTCTGTGCCTCGCTGGCACCCGGTACCTGGGAACGCTCGGTCTGCGCTCCTCAGAGCGGGCCATCCTTTCCCTAGTGACAGCCCAGGTCAGACTCCCCGTTGCCCTCTGCCTCTAGGAGTATGTAGGGTTAGAGGCCCCATTTCACTTTTGGCTAAAAAACCCTGAGGGGAGCCCCAGCCTGGACCAAAGATGGGCAAAAGACGGGCAGCTTGCCCGAGAAAGGGCTTCTCCCTGCGGCCTGGTATACAGTGGCTGCGGGGCTCCCACCACTGTGCCCAGGACCTGATTCCAGTCCAGTTGTTTCTGGGTCCCGTGGCTTTGTCTCTTTTTTTGAGACTCTGACAGTGGCTATGTTTTTGGAAAGTTATAGGATGCGGGAGGGACCCTGGGTTCCACAAGTTCCCAGTTTGAAGACAAAATAAGCAGTCAGCAGATAATGACGGGGAAGTCAGGTTCAGACTCTTGCAAACTTCAAGGAGGAAATGTCCAGCCCCGTGTCACCTGGGATGAGGTCGGTGACAGGTCTGTTACAGACTCGGGGAAGCATGGAAACACTTGGAGTCATGCCTTAAGGCACGGTTAATAACCTGAGGTGACATTCCCTGGGGACTCGATATCAGCCGGGGGAAGATGTGGAAGGGAGACTGTGCGTGGAGTTTTCTGGAGGCCTTGGGGCCAACAGGGAGAGCTCCTGGAAAGTGACACCGGGCTCCACACTGGAGGCTGCGTTTCCTTGCGCATCTCTCTGGAGCGGGATCCTGCGGGCCAGGAGCTGGGTTTCACCCTTAGAGGAGTCATTCAGACCTTTGACTGCGGGTGTCTCCAACCCATTTGCAGGTGGAGTCCACAGCAGGGGGCAGAGGGCAACTCCGGAGACTGGCCAGGCGATCCAGGGCGGTCCCTCCCGCATGCCCGGCCTCCGGAGCCCGCACGCCCTGTGCCACCGGAGCCGCGCGGGTCTTTGCCTCCTGTGCGCGGCGCCCTCCGCCTCCTGTGTCCCTTCTGCCCCCGACCCCGCACAGTCTGCACCCTTCTGGGACCCTTTCCCAGCCCAGCCCTGTAACCCGTATGCGGGGAGATCTGGCAGCCGTGCTCGCCCGGGACGCAGGGGCAGCCTAGGCGGCTTCAGCAAGAGTCCTCGGCGGGCTCTCGGTGGGCTCTCGAGTTACTGATCCGGACCACAGGGCCTCGGGGCCTCCCTCCCGCGTCTGCCCCGGCTACGCCCTCAGCGGAGCCCTCCTTTGCTTATGCCCCCTGCCCTGTCTGTGATCGGCCCTTCCTCTGGCCACTGCCACCGCCTCTCCTTGTCCCTGACTTTCGGCGGGCTCCAGCAGCCCAGCCAGGACCCCCGCCCCGGGTTCGGGACACACAGCCCTGCGGGCATGCGCCCCTCACTCACTGTCCTGCTGCGGGGTGTCGCTGCCGCTGGTGAGTCCCGGCGACTCCAGCAGGCTCCGGCCTGCCTCGCCCACGCTCTCGTCCGCCTGCGCTGCCACCATGTCCCCGGCTTCCTCCAGGTCTAGCAGGTGACTCACGGAGAAGTTCTTTTTCGCCTGCAGGGTGTCGAGGTTGCCCGCGCTGTCCAAGCGGCCGCCCAGCGCCGGTTGCCGCTCCAAAACGTGCCCGTAGCTGGAGGTCATGGTCTCCCCCTCCGATCCCACCCACCCCCCTCTTCCCGCTCGAATCAACACCAAACGCTGTGGGCGCGAGGGGGGAGAGGAGCCGAGTGGGGAAGAGAGAGGGGGGGAGTGGAGAGAGAGAGAGAGAGAGAGAGAGAGAGAGAGAGAGAGAGAGAGAGAGAGAGAGAAGAGAGAGAAGAGAGAGGAAGGACAAAAAAAAAGTGGAAAGAGGGCGGGGGACCCCCGTGTGCAGAGCACAGCGTTCTCCACCAGCAGCCTTTGACAGCCTCGGTTGCTTTCCTGAGGCCAAGTCCGGCGCGATCCAAAGAGATAATCCACACCAAAAAGTAAAACTCAAAAGCCACCCTATGTTCAAGTCAGGAGGAAAAAAATTCCTTCTGCCTCTCCAAAAGCGTCCACACGCACACACTAAAAATAATAGTAAGGGGGAGAGCGGTAAGGGGAGGCCAGCAGGGCGGGAGAGTTAGGCAAACAGGAGAGAGAGAGAGAAGAAGGGGTGGGAGAGGAGAATCAAAGTGGTTTTTTTTTTTAAAGGTTAAAAAAGTTATTCCCAGGCAAGAGTTCAAGCACCAACAGAAGAAGGCTTGTTCCAGCTTTAAAACATCTTCAAGAAAACGTGTTCCCCCTCTCGGCACTCCTGTGGATTCTCAGGAGTGACTAAGGTTTCAGGAGGAGAGGGTGATGTCTTGCAGATGTATTGGAGAGCAGGATTCTCACTTTACTTTTCGTTAGGAGAAAAAAAAAAGGGCTTCAAGAGTCCGAAGGAGGGTGGTGGTAGGTTCCCCCCCGCCCTTTCCCTTTTCTCTCTCTGTCTCCCCCTCTTCTCGCCGAGCTCCTTTTTCCTTCTCAGTTGGATCAAGAAGCTCTCTGGCACTTCAAAAGGCACAAACTGGCATGCAGAGGAGGCTTTGTAGGGAATACAAGAAAATTGGAGACCCCTGGGAGGGCAGATCTCGACTTAATAGGAGCCTGTAATTACGTGGCAAAGCCTTTGTGCGGTGCCTGACGTTTTACAGACCCCCTTTCTCCATCACAATCTCCTTCTTCCTCCTTTCCCTCGGACCGAAAAACAGTCTGATTAAGAAAAACCCCTTTGCCAACATCTGAGCAAGAGAGAGAGAGAGAGAGAGAGAGAGAGA